GGCCAGAGCATGCTCGAACTCTTGTGGGGGTCAAAAGTGTCCTGACCATATCCGAAAGGGTTCTCTTACCAAGGCTCCTCCCTGGGAGGTTGGGTGAGGACAGGCAAACTGCCAGCCGCGGCCCCGCCGGGGGCGCAGGTGGTTGCTGCCCAGCCCGTCGTGGCGCTGGCGCCCGGGCTCAGCGATGGCGCGCCGCTGCCGGCCCTCTTCCGCCAATGCGGGGCCGGACGAACCCAGACATCCGACGTATTGAAAGATTCAGCACGGAGGCGCTTCTCAGGTTTCGGCCTCTCGGGGGCCTCACCGGGCCCTTGGACCGACAACTGGCGGCTCAGGATGGAGAGCCAGCCCTCGAGATCGGGGTCTCCTGAGGGGGCCCTTCTATGAAAAAGACACGACGTCGGAGGTGTGGGGAAGGGGCCGATAGGGAAAGGGGGAGTACCAGATCTGAAGGGGCCCAGGGACACACAAAGAAATAGACACAAATCCACGGATTCCCCATATTTTCAATATTTCCTTGGGTGTTCGTCTTACCCTCCACTTCCTATACTTTCCATCTCGTCTTGGGAATCGACGATTACTTGTGGCCGTGTGTTTCTTCCCCTCCTGAAGATCTGCTGCGTTCCCCTGGTTTCGGCCCGACCGTTGGGCGCTTCCCTCCATACACCGGCGCCTCCCGCGCCGGAGAAATCATCTATACGGTCGGAGCGAGGCATGAGATCGGGGTCGGTTCGGGGAGTGTACCCTAATGTTATTCGTGTTTGTTGGATGTTCTTGTGCATCCTTGGGGAGGTACCCTCGAGTGTTCTTCAGTTTGGCTGGCGGAGGGTCTCATGTTCTTGGAGGTGGTGCTTCTGTCCAAGGTCCTGCTGTACGTGATGTGTGAATCTCGCTTTGCACCCCCCCTCACGTCCGACCCGAGCCAAGAAGGCCGTCATCGTCGTTGTTTTCTCGGTCGCCGTCGCCGTAGTCGAGGTAGTCGCCGTGCCTCCGGCGAGGAAGAGGGGTGAGAAGAAACGAGGAGGGGGAGGAGGAGGAGGAGGAGGAGGAGGAGGAGAAGGAGGAGGAGGAGGTCCAATAGGAGGAGGAGGAGGAGGAGGAGGAGGAGGAGGACGACGACGACGACCAGGAGGAGGAGGAGGAGAATGTGAGTGAGGGAGAGGAGGAGGAGGGAGGAGGAGAGGAGGAGGAGGAGGAGGAGGAGGAGGAGGAGGAGAGGGAGGGAGAGGGAGGAGGAGAGGAGGAGGAAGGAGGAGGAGGAGGAGGAGGAGGAGGAGGAGGGAGGAGGAGGAGGAGGAGGAGGAGGAGCGAGAGGGCACAGGCAGGCGAGGGGGGGCTCGAGATTTTCGCAGCTGCGCGCGCCGAGTGCGCAGGGTCTGTGGGGCGACGCGTCCCCGGAGCGCGGTGGGCGCCCCCGCGCAGCGCAGCGCGCAGGCGGCAGAGGCGAGGCGGGGGTGCCGGAGGTCAGGGGAGCTCGGCCACGCGCAGAGGGGGGCAGGGGGAGGGGGGGGGGAACCTCCTCCTCCTCGTCCTCCTCCTCCTCCTCTTCCTCCTCCTCCTCCTCCTCCTCCCCCTCCTCCTCCCCCTCCTCCTCCTTCTTCTCCTCCTCCTCCTTCTTCTCCTCCTCCTCCTCTTGCTCGGAGGGCTTTCTGGGAGCAGCCCTGCTCCTTGGAAGGCGCGGGCCCTCTCTGGAGATGGAAGGCCCGACCCTTCTAATGAGCAGCCCCCTTCCAAGAAGAAGCCTTCCCCCCTTCTGCGCGCCGCCAGGAGGGGGGAGATGGGCAGGCACCGCTGGTGGAAGGGGGGAGCGGCATTGGCGTGCCTCCCGCTTCACGGGTCCCCTGGTGCTCGTTCCAGGCGTCGCTGCATTCAGGACGGCCCTGCCTGCAGTTCCAGCACTGGCCCAATGGAACCCAGCATTTGTTATATTTTTGTTCCCCAACTATGCGTCCAAAGGGTCTCCCAAGCTCAAGGGAGGGAAGGGGGGCCGCGGGGCGCGCGGGGGTGGTGGTGGTGTGGTGGGGGGGGGGGCAAATTGTCCGCCCAAGCGTGTTGTTCGACACATCTTGGGGCGTCGCAGGCTGAGGCTCCAACGGGAGCCCTCGTGTAGCATTGTAAGCCCATTCCTCCTCGCACGCCCACAGGGGTGACCCATCGCTAGCACGGACCCTCGCACTGCGACCTCCAGAGGGATCTGTACAAGCGCCTGTGCGATGGTACCCGCGCCCCTCCTCCTCGCCCCATTGTATCAGAATCCCACCTTTGCCAGGGACCCCACGTGAGCCCCCTATTTGCCCAGCGATGGTGCAGGACTCGCATTCTGACCCCCCACGCGGGGCCCAGCTGAGGCACAATTGGGAGCGCCCGTATACGCATCGGGTCCCGCTCCGCCACTCTTCCCTGAACCGAACTGCTCCGCCTCGCGCCCACAGCTATTTTGGCTCGAGTTCGCTGCGCTGGCGCCGCCGTTCGCGCATCTGGGTGAACCTGCGGTCCGGGCATGGTTGGACCATTCTCGGCGCGCGGTCTCTCGGACGGCGTCATGACGACAGCGCTCAGTGCGGCGGCGATGTCCGCCTTCGACGCCCCGTCGGCGGGCAAGCCTGCGACCTCGGACGACGACGAGGGCGACGTCAGCACTGTGGACGTCTGCTCCCGGCGGGCGTCCTCGGAGAGCGAGGCCCGGCACGAAGCAAGCTGCCTTTGAGGGAGAAGCAGGGGTGGAGGGTTTCCCCGAAGGGCTTAGGCGACCCGTCCTCCTCCTCCTCCTCCTCCTCCTCCTCCTCCTCCTCCTCCTCCTCCTCCTCCTCCTCCTCCTCCTCCTCCCCCTCCTCCTCCTCCTCCTCCTCCTCCTCCCCCCTCCTCTCCTCCTCCTCCTCCTCCTCCTCCTCCTCCTCCTCCTCCTCCTCCTCCTCCCCCTCCTCCTCCTCCTTCTCCTCCTCCTCCTCCTCCCTCTCCTCCTCCTCACCCTCCTCATCCTCCTCCCCCTCCTCCTCCCCCCCCTCCCTCCTCCTCCTCCTCCTCCTCCTCCTCCTCCTCCTCCTCCTCCTCCTCCTCCTCCTCCTCCTCCTCCTCCTCCTCCTCGGGTCGCCTGCGGCCCGGGGGGAGACCGTGCAAGAGTGGGGGTCCTGCTGCTTGCTGCCGCCGCTGGCCTCCCTGGGCATGCCCCGGGCCCACGGGCTGGTCTGAAGTCGGGCATGTCCCTCCACAGGAGGAGTATTCAAAAATTGTCTCACACACAAGAAAAATCAGCCGACGATTTGTTGACTATTTGTGATTGTTTTCTCCAAATAGGTTTGCCTTATAGGAGTCCTAGCTCATTCTCAGTAATTTGTCGTTGGGACCCCCCTTCTTCAAATGACACCCACCCTTATTTGCTCGCGCTTGCTTGCTCTTGCTTGCTATTGCTTGCTTGCACTTGATCGTTGGCTCTTGCTTTATTGTTATTGCTCGCTTGCGCTTGCTTGCATCCGCTTGCCTGCTTGCGCTTGCTTGATGTTGTTTCTCCCGTCCTGCTCCCGTCCTCGTTTCGTCCTCCCCCCATCCTCGTCTCGTCCTCCTCCTGTCTTCCTATCTAGTTGGAGTCAACGCTGGCTGATCGGAGGTTGGGGGGTGAGATCGCAGTGGAACGGAGACCCCCAACCAGGAAATCGTTTCGTTTGGTTCGTGTCTTGCGTGCGGGCGAGGCGAAGCTCCGTGGGCGCGCGAGAGGAATCAACCCGCCGCTGCTAGGGCGAAGTCAAGACAAATGATTATCCCCCGTCCGTCCGTCCGTCCGGCGGTGGCCCTAGCGATGTCCCGCGGTGTCCCGTGGTGTCCCGTGGTGCCCGCCGCTGCTAGGGTGAAATCAAGTCGAATGATTATCCCCCGTCCGTCCGTCCGTCCGTCCGGCGGTGGCTCGCGGTGTCCCGCGGTGTCCCGTGGTGTCCCGTGGTGTCCCGTGGTGTCCCGTTGTGTGAGATCGATGGTGAGATCGATACTGAGATCGATACTGTGATCGATGTGGTGCCCCGAGGTGTGCCGTGGTGTCCCAAAAAGTGAGATCGATAGTGAGATCGACAAGTGTCCCGTGGTGTCCCGTTGAGTGAGATCGTCCTGTGGTGTCCCGTTGAGTGAAATCGATAGTGAGATCGATTGAAGCAGATGTTGGTTCCCCCCCTCCCCCCCCACAACCTCCTTATCGCCCGAAGGGTGGTCGTATAGGTATTTGAATATGGTTTGATTTCTGTTTTTCGAAAATCCGCCTGTAGGAGGACATCCCCGACCCAAGCCCATGGGCTCGTCCACAGACGGCCCGGGACGAAACGCTGGTACTGGGGGGAGGCCCCGGCGGTGTGCAGGACCCGCTTCCTCTGAGGAACCCCGGACAGTGCCAGGGGAGGTCACCGCGAGAGCCTGGCATCGCTCGGACGTGCGCCTTTTTTCTCGGCGAGGACCATCGAGGAATGGCCAGCAGAGGTGCCGTGGGCTCCTCGCGGCCACACCGAGGCTCCAGGGCCGTAGCTCGAGGGGAGGCTCCGACGGCTCGCCGGATGGCTCCCGCGGTGGCACACGGGAGGGCCACACGAAGAGGAGGAGTCCCGCCCGGTGCGGCAGCCGCTTCGCCGGAGACGTTCTCACAACGTACTCCGAGGCAGGGGTCCATGCGCACGGTCGGGCCGAGGTAAAAGGTCGAGGTCAGTTCGGGGAGCGTACCTTCGTCTTCTTCGTGCTGGTTGAATGTTCTTGAGCATCCTGGGGAGGATGCCCCTTGGATGTTATGCTTATCTTGACCGACGGAGGGTCTCAGGTTCTTGAAGGATGTTATCCTGGCCTAGGCCCAACCGCTTGGTGGATCGATCGATCTTCGAGGACATCCGCAGGCGACGGGCGTGGAGATCTATATACATACAAATATTCCTATAATTATACATCCTGTAAGGAAAAATCCCCCCCGGATGGCCCACCCCCCCCCCCACATACCTTCTTGGACGGCCGCCCTTGGCCCCCGGGCCCCTTTCCAGCGGACTTCCAAGCCCTCCAGGTCACCGAACGATGAGGCGAAACGCTCTTCATGGCCCCCCAGCGGCCCAAGACGCCCGAGGACGGCGGCCTAAGATAGCCTCAGATGACACCGCGACCGCCCCCAGGCGACCCAAGACGGCCCAAGAGGCACCCAAGAGGCCCCCCAAAAGGGCCCCGTGAGGCCAAAATAGCCCCATTCCCATCGTAAAAGGTACATTATCAACATATTCGCCCCTTGGCCTTTCATAACGTCCAAGTCGGCCCAAGAGACTCCCAAGACGGCCCAAGAGGCTCCCAAGAAGGCCCCAAGACGCCCAAAGAGAGCCCAAGAGTGCCTCAAGGGCCCCCAAGACAGCCCAAGAGACCATCTGGACGGGTCGCGCAGGCGTCCCAGAAAACGAAAACCAAGTTCAAATTTCAAGCCTTCGGCTTCCAGAGGCCCATAGGATGCCCCCAGAGGCCCCCACGAGGCCCCACGAGGCCCCAAGAGGCCCCTAAGCGGCCCCCAAGAGGCCCCCAGGCGGCCCCCAAGAAGCTCCCATGAGGCCCCCAGGACGCCCCAAAAAGCTTCCAAGAGTCCCCTCCCCGGACGCCCCGAGCCACTCCTGGCGATCGCGAGGCTTCTGACAAGGAGAGGCGACGAACGGCCTTCCTGACGCGCTCTTGGGCCGTCTTCGAGCTTAAGGTGCCCCAGTCAAGGCCCAACAGGTCCCAGAAACGCCCAAGGATAGTTTCCCCGGGTTTCCCAAGAGACCCTCCAGAAACAACTGACCGGGAGACGCACCCAACCCTTTGTACACAAGAGGAGACCATACCCAGGACCGTTCATGTCCAACTTACGCCTTGAAGTATTCGCAGTATCCTTGAACGCTTCGCCAAAGAACGTGAGGCCGCAGACCAGTGTTCCCCATTCACGGCATCACTCTTGCGACTCATATCACAGAGGAGGAGGAGGAGGAGGAGGAGGAGGAGGAGGAGGAGACCAGTTACGACGTTACCATGGACCCCGACATCCAACACGAACTCCGGGCATGGCTCACCGGGCGCTACCTCTGCGCCACGGAAGCCGCTTGGCGCGTTTTCGGCTACAACACTTGCGACACGTCGTTTGCCTCCCAGTCCACGTGGACGGCCAAGACTAGGTTTTGTTCGAAGAGGGCAAGGAGGCCGAAGCACTCCAGGGACCCACTTCCCCTTTACAGCAGTATTTCCAACGCCCCTCTGTGAGCCAGTTCTCCACGTTAAAGTACAACGAGTGCTACGAGCAGTACATGATTGCCCCCGCTTGCCTCGTTCGCCTACGCGGCAACTTCCATTCCCCGAAGCCGCCCCAGCGCCCGACGTGGCGTGGATGGACCCGGCGCCCCAAGGACAACGCCATTTCGTATGCCCACGGCAGCGCGGGGAAGCCCCTATCTGCAGGCTGGAGATGAAGTTCCCCCGGCAGAAGGAAGTCTTCTATCTCCCGGCATATGCTATTGAATTTCCCCTAGCAGGACTTCCGTGATTGTCGCACTCACAACGGACACGTACATGCCACGTACGAGGAGGCCCTGCACGCCACCGGCCTGTTCGCCGCCAACACGGAGGCCCACGAGGTCCTTGACGAGCTCATTCCGCTGAGGTGCACTGCCAGCCAGTTGCGCTTCGCTTTCCTCGTGCTCCTCGAGCAGGATGCAGCGCCGGCGGAGCTTTTCGCAAAGTACGAACGACCGCTAATGAAAGACTTTTTGGACCGAGGGGTGTCTCCGCAGCGCCTGCGGGAGCGCCTCGTCCGCCTGCTCAAGGCCACCTGGTTGGAGAACTGCAACCTCGAATCCACGTGGAAGCTGTCGGACACGGATGGCGAGAATCACTTGCCAGCGCCACCCGCCCCGCTCGCGGACTCCGCGTTGGGCGATCTGCAGTCCAAAGTGTCGAGGTGCTCTTCACAGCGCGCCGTCGCTGCTGACGTCCTTCGCCGCTGGCGCAACGCCGAGGAGGCATTCATCTTCTGCGAAGGGAAGGCCGGAACCGGAAAGTCCACGCTGGCGCAGTGCATCACGGCGACAGTGGAGGCCGCCGACGACGTGGCCATTAACGCTGCCAGCACAGGACACGCTGCTTTGCAACTCCCTCATGGGGCCACGGCGCACTCCGTCTTTGCCATCCCTGTGGACGATTCGCCGGAGCTGTTCAGCAACCTCAGTGTCCGCTCTGCAGCGGCTCTCCACATCGCCCTCGCCCCGATCATCCAGTGGGATGAGCGGCCTTGCATTCGCAAGGCAGCATGGGAGTCCGTCTTGAGCTTGCTCGACGCGCTCAAAGCCCAGCACCCCCGAGAATACCGGCCCAAGGTATTCGTTCACTACGGGGACTTCCGCCAGGTCCCCCCCGTCATCCCGAAAGCCAGTCGCCACGTCGTCGTCCAGAACACCGTCCAGACCTCCTCGTCGTGGGCCAAGTTCACCCGGTTCCACCTTTCCCGTGTTTGGCGACAAGCTGAGGACGTTTCTTTTTGCCAGTGGATAGACGGCATTGGTGATGGCACGCAAACAACTCAGAGCAGCAACGCCGGTGACTTGGGATTCACGCCCCTGCGCGACATCGCCACCGTGGCAGACGAAGCAGCGGCCGTCCGACACGCATTTCCTCACGTTAACGACCCGCACGACTGCGCCAATTCCAAGATCCTGG